TCTTCAAGGATACACACAAAGCACAAGTTAGCTCCATATTAGGAGCATCTCTGTGCAAAGGAGCAGGATCAGAAGAGATCATGAGGGGGATTTTTTGCTTTTTACAGCACAATTTCTACATCTCAACTTTTCCTTTTTTTTTTTTTTTTTTAATTTTATTTATTTGACAGAGAGAGAGCGCGAGAGCAGGAACACAAGCAGGGAGAGTGAGAGAGGGTGAAGCAGGCTTCCCGCGGAGCGGGGAGCCCGATGTGGGGCTTGATCCCAGGACCCTGGGATCATGACCTGAGCCGAAGACAGACGCTTAACAACTGAGCCACCCAGGCGCCCCTACATTTCAACTTTTCAAAAACACTCACTCAGATTATTGTATAATAGCTTAAAACTGTATTTAAAATACAAGCAATAAGGGGAGCCTGGGTGGCTCAGTCGTTAAGCGTCTGCCTTCGGCTCAGGTCATGATCCCAGGGTCCTGGAATCGAGCCCCGCATCGGGTTCCCCGCTCCGCGGGAAGCCTGCTTCACCCTCTCTCACTCCCCCTGCTTGGGTTCCCTCTCTTGCTGTGTCTCTCTCTGTCAAATACATAAATAAAACCTTAATAAATAAATAAATAAATAAATAAAATAAAATAAAATACAAGCAATAAGAGGCAATATGTTAGTTAAAAAAAAAATATGAGCTATTAAAAGGAGCTAAATGGGCAAATCTAATAATACCAACATCTAACACATACAGAAAACTCTAATCTCATTTGAATTTTACAATACTGAGTAAGGCAAATCAGATAGTCGGCCCTTTTAGTAAATGAGAAAAAGGTTAAAAAATTTTAACTTCTACAACAAATGCATTACATTTTTAAAATGTTCTTCACTTTAGCCTTTAAATTATCTTTAAAAAAGGTAAGATTTAGCTGGGGCGCCTGGGTGGCTCAGTCAGTTGAGCATCCAACTCTTGGTAGTGTTTTGGCTCAGGTCATGATCTCGGAGTGGTAAGATCGAGCCCCATGTCCAGCTCTGAACTCAGCAGGGAGTCTGTTTGAGATTCTCTCCCTCCCTGCCCCCCTACCCTGCTCACGCTTGCGCACATGCTCGCTCTCTCTCAAAATAAATCTTAAAAAAAAAAAAAAAAAGGTAAGATTTAGCTGTAAAGCTTTAAGACCAACTATATCTGATTACATAGTTTTTACAGAAAAATAAAACGCGTTTACTTAGTGGCCTTTACACGTTTAAGAAACACAAAAATAATCATTAAATATAATAAAGTCATATAAAACAAGAATTTATTTTTTTTTTAAAGATTTTATTTATTTATTTGCGAGAGAGACAATGAGAGACAGAGAGCATGAGAGGGGGGAGGGTCAGAGGGAGAAGCAGACTCCCTGCTGAGCAGGGAGCCCGATGTGGGACTCAATCCCGGGACTCCAGGATCATGACCTGAGCCGAAGGCAGTTGCTTAACCAACTGAGCCACCCAGGTGCCCCCAACAAGAATTTATTTTTATTATTCTCCACCGTGCTTGAAATGTTTAATGACTTCTCAAAGACATTTTATCCTAAAATAGTAACTCCAAAAAAATCTGAACTTTTAGATTTCAAGTTGCTGTATGAATAGTTTACTCAAAATACTAGTAATCCCTTAGGTAAATTCTGAAGTTTAAAGCACTTGGGAAAATGTCATTTATTACATACAGACATACTGTCTATAGACACTTATGTCTACAGATTAGTTATATAGCTATAACTAGTCAATTTAGCAAAGCTTGAGCCTAACAGGTGCAAAACTGACTCTAGTGGCCCAGAGCACATCAGCTATCTAAAAGGCATAATTTTACTTAAATAAAATTTTAAAAAACTTAAATAAAATGCATAATTTTACAATCCAGGATAGGGCATGCTTTAGAAAATCATTACAGTAGTTAAGACAGTATTTTTTTTCCTAAGCAGCCAAAACAGAAGGAAAAAGTCTAACCAAATGCATAGTACATGAGTTGGGAGACTATTATTTCATCTGCATATATACACACAACCAAATAGTTAGATACCAAAGAATTTGATTTATGTGGCAATATAGAAAAATTTTAAAATATTCACTTAAAAAACTTCTGACCTGGTCACTGAAGATCATCTGCACTCCATTCTTAAAAAACAAAACAACAACACCCGAACCTACTCAACACAATATTCAACACTGACGATTCAACTTTATGTGCTCACACATTATAACATATTTAGCAATTGCATTTCACACAAGTTTAAGTTCAGTAACTTTGAAGTTTGCCAAGTAAAGTGCTAAAATTACTGGAATGCAAGCAGTGCACCTTCAAGAGAAGCAATTCTTCTACTGATTTGCAATAATCAACTGTGTATTGAGAGGTTACCTTGTGCCAAATGCTATATTTTAATAAAGTAACACGTTTAAATTTAAAACCACAGGCTGAATACTGATTGAAAAAAGGCAGTCTTATAAAGGATTAATACATAAGATACATTAATTCAAAGTCAATTGTTTAACTCATTCAAAATAGAATTTATAGTTGATGAAATTACAATTTCAGAAGGACCAAACTATGGAGCTCTCATGCTGAGTAACAGAAAAATTTACTAAAAACAAACATGCACACATTCAATATGTCACTTAATCCATACATTTTTTAACTTCAAAAAGTATCCCCAAATTATCCTCTTCCATCTCAAATAATGTACGTTAAAATATTTAATAATTCAATCCCATAAGGTACCAACACAAAAACACAAAACCAAATTTAAGTTAGCTGAATACTAGGACTACTATATGACACTTAGTCAGTAATGCTAGTAAGCCAACACAAAGTAGAAACTGTAATTCATATTACCTAAGCAGCCATACTGAAAAATGCTTTCAGAAAATAAAGCACTTTTTTTTTTAAGATTTTATGAGAGAGAGAGAGAGAGAGAGAGAGATGGAGAGCACGAGTGGGGGGAGGGGCGGCAGCAGCAGCAGGAGAAGCAGGCCCCCCGCTGAGCAGGGAGCCTGACATGGGGCTCAATCCCAGGACTCTGAGATCATGACCCCTGATCCGGAAGACAGAGGCAGCCACCCAGGCGCCCCAAAGCAATGTTTATTCTTAAAACTCACCATAATATACATTCTCTTGCAAATTAAAGATGCCTAGCGTTTTCTCTGAAATTTAAGAAATTTTTTTTCAGAACGTTTGAGTACATCACAGTTTGTCTCCCCACAACCAACCACCCAATAGCCATCCAGTTTGGTGCTTCACCCAAGCCCCGGAACATTCGCAGGTTTCACCTTGAGGGGGTAATGAGGAGCGTTTTCCAAGGATAGAAGTTCTACGTGTTCAGCAGCACAAATCTCTCACATACGAACTCAGCTCAAATGGTATGAAACTGAAGTGTACTCTTCCTATTTTTTAAGTTATTAATCCCATAAAAACCTTCAAGGTGTTTACAATTTTAAAACTGATTGCACGTATTTGCAAGAAAACCATTAGGTTTTGATACTGAGAGGTTGTAAGTTCTGAAACATGCTTTAAAAACTTTATAATTTCATCAGCTAAAATCTGAACTCACAAGAAGCACACTGGAAGAGACACGATACCAAACAGGAGCAGTAACTGCACAGCACGCACCTACCATGGGGAATGCCCAAGGATTCAACACAACCAACCAGGGGAAGCTATAAGCTCCTATCTGAACAATGATTCCACTAAAATAAAAAAATAAAATGTCACAGCCCTACTAGCCCTTGCCTATTTCTCCACTTTCTCAATAGTATAAAAAGATTCTTAAAAGCCATGAGAGAAATCCTTAAGAATAATTAAGTGGTTCAGTTACAAGCAATAATATAAGAGCATTTCAAACTCACAATGACTTCCCTTACAAAACAGGACAAAATTTTACCAAAGAATACCCCACACCTGACCAACAGTAAGAACGTATGTAACCAAAATGGCAATATTAAAGTTTCCATTTAACCCATTAACCACACCTTAGAAACTTCAGTGTTAATAAATAAAATATTTCATTTAGTTTTTCAACTTGAATATTTCCACATGCTTATTTTAAATTCTATGCATGGCCCCTGAATATTTTCTTCTTCGTAACTTCTAAGTTTAGAACACTTCTGAAATGTCACATCCCATTCCAATACTAATCCTGAGAACTGAGAATTAGGTTAAATGTTGTACCTAATTTTTAAATTATGGGAGTAATAGATTTGAATTAATCTCCCTTAAATAAATGGCTCTATTACAACATATTAAGTCCTTCCTCACTTCACTGTTGACTTAATAAAATCCAAGTCTTCCACCTTGCCTCAACAGTAGCAAAAGTTACTCTAAAGTGATTGGCAAGCACTCCAAAAAGCTGGAATCAAATTGCTTTGAAACTGAAACACATGTATGCAGTATGAAGCAATTTTGAGGAAATAAAAAAAAGCACACCCCCATGGAAGAGCTTAAATCTATAAAATTTAAAAAACAAAACCTTTTTATCAAAGCCACAAATTACATCCTGAACTGATCTGCCAAAGTCCAACACAAAATTTATATATACAATGAAGTTTGAGAATCCGCTGTGATTTAACTCTATGCTCTATTAGCTTAACAGAGAGCCTGAATAACAGATTAAGATGGCAAAGCCATTTTCTAAACCAAAATGAACCTGGGTATCTAAAAAGGTTTTACATCATCCCTAATGATATATCCAAGATCCACGATTAGGCCAAGTGTACACCTTTAAATTCATTTCACGGTTCTGTTTTATATATGCGAAAGGGTCCACGCCAGATAAATTCATTACTTCTCTTCAGCGTAGCACTGAAATTGTCAAGAGGCTCATCAAAACATTACTCCCAGATTAATCAATTTCAGTTGTTACTTGATGTTAGCACCAAAATAAGCATTCACGAAGGAATAAAAGCAGAAGTTTTTAATAACAAAAAGAAAACCCCCAAGATAAAGATTAGAAGAATTTTAAAAAGAAAAAATTGTGAAAGGAAGCTCACCTGCAGTTAGGTGGAGGGTCTAAAGTGATGTCTGCCAGTTCCTTCTGAATCCTGGAATCAGGGAAGTGAGAGAGAAACACAAGAAACATGAAGGCGTTGGTAGCCTCCCACCGTCATGCATAGGTCTGGCAGATAAACCTGACTGCCTGCCATGATAACCGGGTTCTACTGAGGGAGAAGGAAACTACCCATCAAAAGCTTCAGGTCCGTAGTCAGAAAAAAACTTTTTTCCCACAGGCAGTGAGCTGGTGGTCCGGGGTCTCTTGCTATTCTCTAAAATGTTTCGGTTCCAGTCTCGCCTCGCACACTACGGCAGTTGTATTTCTCGGGGTTTTCCATTTAGGAAATAATTGTAAAGCTTCTGGCTTGCGGACTCGTTTCCCAAGTTGCATTAGAATGTGCCTGGACGCCGCCACTTCGGCGCTGCACTTTCTCTCCCCTGGACCGAGAAACCCAGGCCGCCGCGCGGGTGGGAAGGGCGCGCCCCCAGTCTCCGCCCGGGGTCACCACTGGCACCTCGGATGCCCTCCGGGCCGCCTCGGCAGGGCGCCCCCCCCACGCCGCCCCGCGTCCTCGGTGACGAAGCCAACATGGCCGCTCCCCGCGAGGCCCCTCGGGCCCTGACTGACCTGCCCGGCGTCGCGGGGAGCCGGCGCGGCGCAGGCCGCAAGGCCGACCCGGCCGCCCGGCCGCCCGGGCTCCCCGCCCCCAGCCCGCGCGCACCCGACGACTCGAGCGGCGCACGCCAGCCCGGCCGGTGAAGTTGCCGGCCAGGGGTGGGGGAGCCCGCGCCGGGACGCCCGGCGACTACCCCGCTCGCCTCCACCGCGCCCCGGGACCTCCAGCCCCCACGCCGCGCGCGGAGCCCTGGGCGCCAACACCCCCGCCTGCCCCGCCAGCGAGGCCGGACATCAGCAGGCGGCCCGCACAGGTGCACCCAGCCTCCGTCCCGCACAGCGCTCCGGCTCTCGGCCCCCCTTTCCGGACCTGCTTTTTCCTGGCGATCCTCTAAATGTCCTGGGGTCTGCCCCTTCCTTCTCCATCCCACCCTGCACACAGAGCCCGGGACATCCCCCACCCCGCCCCGTTGTCTATCTCCGCACCAACCCACGACTTCACAAAGAGCCCCATCCCCCACTCCTAGGCCGACGCCACCAGGCAGTTCACACCAAGCCCTGGCCTTTGTCTTCTGCTTACCTAGGCGCTTAGAGCATCAATTAATAAGGCAAAGTTTGAGGCCTTTAAGCCTCCTCCATCTACTAAATGGTGTCTTCTATTTTTAGAACCTTTCTTGCTCCTATCACATAAAACCCTAAAGGGCTATGTTACAACTTAAAAAATCTCACGGAGGTAGTACGGGAGTAAAAACTAAACACACACATTCTAAAGGCAATCAGAATCACAATGGATGCCTTTCTCTCTCCAAAGGTTCTCTGAGGGTGGGAAGATAGGCTGGGTAGATGCAATGGGGAGTAGGTTTTAGAAGGCATTGTTTTTTCCATGTCTAAGTAAAGAGAAATTAAGGGTGGTTATTGTGGAAGTTCTTTAAACCTTCCTATTGGAGGACACTTCCTGTCCCCTACAAATCTGGTCAGCTTTAGAAAGGGGTTCGCTCACAGTTTTTAAGACATCTACTTATCTGTGTCCTGCTAAATTCTTCTGCTACCAAGAAGCATTTCAGTTCTGAGACATTCCCCAACATCTGTGCTGTTTGACTCATTATTGTATGTTAGACTAAAAGTCTGGAATCCTGGTTTCCTGATTATCTGCATGTTAGAATGACTGTACCTTAAGACCTATGTATGTAGGCAAAAATATTCTCCACCTGAGCACAACTTGTATATAAATACATATTGACTTCATTTCTGCCAATCCAACCTCTACGGTATTTTTACTGAAAAAAGGTAGTTACTTCTTTAATACCTAAAAAGTATAATACCAGTTTTAACCACTTCATCTCTACAATTAACATCTGCACCATTTCCATAATACTGACAAAAGATTTGTAAAAGTAACTCACACATATGTTTCACGGAGTAATTCTTGTCCAGACCACTCTCAATGGGGGCTTTTCCTCTATCCACGGACTAGAAATGAGACCACTTTCCAGTATGTAGTTAAGTAACTTTAGGTCTACCAATTCAGGCTTCTTTTTTATTCTATCTCCTGGTATATGTGCCCCTTCCAAGTCTACCAGCAACACTCAGCTTCCAAGTCAACGTATTTCAGACATCAGCTTTAATAGGGTCCCACTAACATTAATTTCCCCCTTACTCTCTCCTGGATATGCTGCCCCTCTCCTTCACTACTAACCTTAGCTCTGCTTTAAGACTAACAGCCACTCTTTCAACAAGATATTCAGGGAGCTAAAAGTGATGTTAACTTCATACGTAAAATTATCCCTTGTAGCTTCCCACCTTTCGTTTTTTGTACACCTACTCCCTTTTTCCCAGGAATTTCCAAATATGTTTTTAAACTTCCTTAGCATAAATGGACAAATTGTGTCTAATGAAAAATCCCCCTCAGTAATTTGCTGACACAAAGGAGACTGTCTTATGTTTGACACCTGTGCTTTTACCCCCAAATATATTCATGTGCGCCAGTGATATCCTGGTGCACGAAAAATACGAATAACCTAAAGCAAATATCCTGCCTTACTCAGGCCAGGCCAAAAGCTGTTCCAGCATGGGTCAGGGAGCACAGGTACTGCAGGTAGGGGTGGGGAGGAGTAGGGAGTTGGGGAGATTTAAGGAAAGCCCCATCCAACACGGGCAGGGGAGATGCCAGGTTCTAGAAGAACGAGCACAGGACTAATCAATGCGGGCCAGTTTGTATTCCCAGGAAGCTGAAATGCCATTAAACCATCCCTCCAAAAATAAGAAGAATCTTGCTAAGAAGGCATCTTGCCATTTAACTCTAAACCTCTGCACTATTTAAAATAAGCTAACGTCACTCTTTCATCCCCCCCCATGGTTAGGTCACCAAAGCACTTTACCAACTTTTCAGATTTCTGGGAGAATGACAGGACAAACTTTCACTCTGAGTTCCAGGCTCACTACTCAGTGGAGATTAAAGACTCACATTCCATTTTATTTTACGTTTCTTTAAAAAAGATACCCCTATTTAACCCACCATTTGTATTCCTTACTATCTTTCTGGGTTTGCCACTTTAAAGTTTAATGACCGTCCACCTAAGCAGGATTTATGAAAGGGCATGGGGGTTCCCAGGAATCTGCTAGAGATTATTTTAAGGGTCATGGAGATCAGAGAATATTACTGAAGGATGCTCAAGGTAAAAAAGTAGTTTCTTCCAGAGACATAGAGGAAAACAGTAAAGAAAAAGAGCCACTGTTTGAATTCAGCTTGGAAAAATAATAAAAAGTTTTTACAGCATATGAGAGAATGTATCATGAAAAAAAGTCTCCCTGAAATTTGGCAAAATTGAAGTTTTTAAAGAGAAAAAAAAATCCCCCAAATAACCTAGACTATCCATTTTACATTATATATCAATTCATCTGCCTCAACTCTCCAAATCACAAGAATCTCCTTAAGTTCCATCTGAAAACATGCTTTCACCTATTAAATTTTTTACCCCACTAATAGGAGTTATTCCTGACACAGTTTGTGGAGAAAGCTCCACTCAAAAAAAGATCATAGTGCAACAGGTGAGGAGGAAGCAAGATGGTAATAGGATTCATTTTGATAGTTGTCTGGGCAGGTATTAGTAATTAAGTGGGATGACAGCTTTGAGAAGGGTCACAAGCTAGTGATTAATAGGACAAGTAATTTGAAATCAGATTTGGGGGTCACTAGTAAAAGTAATGAGGATTCTTACAAACTTCACCAAGAAATGAGAGGCAAGCCACAACAGCTGCACGTGGACAACGATTAAAAGAAAAAAAACAGAAGCAGGAGAGTAAAATAATTAAAGCTTCCAAGGCCCTTTTTTCATTTTTAACAACACGCAAACCATGAGGAGCATTCAAGCTACCCCTCATTGGGAGGCAGACGAAATGCAACAAGAGGTAGTTCGGAAAATAGGAAGCCTAGGGGGTTGGGGGTGGAGTACGGTACCTCTTGGCGCTGGTAGAGAGGAGTTTGGAGTTTTTGCTCATGCTGACTTTACTCTCCTTCTTCTTGGGGGTGTTTGTTTCTTTCTCGGTTTGCTGGTTGGAGGACGAAGATGAGGAGGAGCTGGTGCTGGCCCTCGAATCGTCATCCGACATAGCGAACCCCCCACCCCACCCCGCAAATAGCCCCTGCAGAGGGAAAGAAACAAAACAGAAACAGACCATGCAGTCAGTGTAAATAAGGAACTCGGGTGCTGTCAGGAGGGCTTTGGCCAGGGGTGCACCCGCCCGCCCAGCGCCCTCCACTCGCTTTTCAAAGTCTTCAGGCCCATTAAGGCTTTAGCAAATCCGACGCGGCTTGTTTATTTTTGGCCCCAAGTAAGGGACGCGGTGGGAAAACGATCGGGAGCACACCGAGCGCCCCCCCCCCGGCGCCCCCCGGGGCTCCCCTCGGGGCAGGGAGGGGAGAAGCCGAGCAGGCGGAGGGCAGGGCGAGGGCGGGGGCGGGGAGCGCCTCGGCGGGGCAAGGAGGGAAGGTCCCGGCGGTGTGCCGGCCTCGGGGCTGTTTCAGTCGGCTTTCCGGGGGTTGCGGGGGGCCAGTGGCCAGGGCGAGACAGCGGGGACCAGGAGTGGAGTTTGGCGAGGTCGGGAAGAGAGGAGGGGCGGAGAGGAGTAAGAGAGGAAGCCGAAACGGGGGGACGGAGGCGGGGAGCGGGTGCCCGGGTGGGGGAAGGGAGAGGCCGGCGGGGGGGGCAGGGGCGACGAGGCCCGAGGCGCCCCCCCAGCGCCGCGCCCCGACGCCTCTCCCCGCAGGCCTGTGGCTCGGCCGCCCGGCTCAGGGCTGCGCGGCTGGGGCGGGGGTCCCGAGCACACGCCCGACTGCCACCCCTAGTGGGGGTGGGGCGAGGGTGCGGGGGGGGCTCGGCCTCCACAGCGGAGGAGTAACAATGAGCCCTTCCGCCCCGGAGGGGTTAATCCCCGCGGGCCCCCGCCCCGGGGAGAAACGGGGCTCCCCCGCCTCCCCCTCCCCCGCTCCCGGCCCCCTCGGCGGCCAGTGGGGGGCTCCCGGGGCAGCGCTGACAGTTCGAGCCACAATGCCCCCCCACCCCCGACGCGGGCGGCCCGCACCCCACGCGGCCCGGGGTCCCTACCCATCCCCCGCGGGCGGGCCCCGGACCCCTGGGGCTCCTCGGCCCCTCTCCGCGCCCCCCCCAGCCCCGTGCCCGGCGGTCCGGGAGGCGCGGGTCGGGGGAGGCGGCGAGGGGTGTCCCCGAGGCCCGGCGACGCGCCCGGGGGGCGGCGGGCGGCCGGGGGATCCCCGTACCTCTCTTTGTGTCTGGCTCCTCCGTGCCGCCGCGGCGGCTGCTGCTGCGGCTGCGGCTGGGCCTGGCCACTCGTGTCTCTCTCTCGCTGGGAGAGAAGCGGAAGTGCAGCAACAGCAACTATTAAACAGGCAATGGCTTCCCCCAGCCACACACGCTCGCACACACACTCCTCCTCCTCCTCCTCTTCGCCCTCACCCCTCCCCCACCCGGCCCGGTCCCACCCACCCGCTCTCCCCTCCCCCTGCACACCTCCGGGGGGGCGCGAGGAGGACACAGGGGACCCCGGGAAACCCTGCCCCCTCCCCACCCACTCCCCCACCCCAGCGCCGCCGCGGGACGCCAGTGAAGGGGGCGAGGGGTGAGAATTTTCTCCCAAGTGGTTTGGGACCTGGATTCTGGGCTGGAGAGGGGAAGCCGTTCCGAGCTGGGGAGCGCTGGGAGCGATAGGAACTGTATGGACTAGGGCGGTCACGAGAGGAAGTTCTTTCCAATAAGGGCTTTTGGAAAGGGGGGGTGACAAATCGGTGGGGAAGGTAGTAATTTGGTGGGAAGGACTCTGGACTAGAGAATGCAGTGGAAACTCCCCCTAAAAAGTGATCCGTTTAAGGGGAAAAAAGAAATCCCACAACAGGGTTTCCCTTTGAGCTGACACTGGCTTCTCCCTCTAGCAATTTACCTGCGAAGAGCAGAGGTCGGTCTAGGCACGCCTGTTGAGAAAAATCTCAAAGTAGGAGTTTTCTGCTCAGGCACGTGCAATTTTACAATTTTAGATTCTTTTAGTCACTTTTTATAAAAAGTGGTGTTTTATAAAAGTGATACAAAGGATTCGTGACAGGTAAAACCAACGTGTAGCAGGCTTACAAATGTGAAGTAACTGGGAAAAAGCCCTTTACTACTGAATTAGACTGGATTTAGAATTTTGGGTGTCAGTTTACTTTATTTATTTATTTATTTATTTATTTATTTATTTATTTATAGTTTAGTTTACTTTAAATAGAAAGTTGGATTTTTGGAAATTAGATCAAAAGTTTTGGGACTCCAGAAACTGCTTCAACAATAATATAAATGCTATTCAAATAATCTTAATATTTTTAGAATAATCAGTAATTCTTATGAATTGTTCCTTGTTTAGCATTTTTACCAAGGTTAAGATTAAGCCATCAAAAAAAGATTAATGCATCAAATTATGATTTAGTTTCTCACTTGTCATTTCAGTTGAAGGAAACTGAAGGTATACGTGCAATGCCACATATACAGGGTCTGGTACATTAAGGAGACCGTGAGTCAGATTTCCACGGGCCACTCTAACTTATCTCATTCAAATTGCCATCCTTTTCCATGGCAACAGTGGCTTCAGTTACCATAGGGCAACACAGCAGGTGTAAAGCTTATGGCAAATCCACTAACCGGGAAAACAAGCACTCTTACCACCACCTGAACCCCTTATAGCTTCAATATTGAAACTCCAACTTTATCAGGACTCAAAGTAATTGTGCATGCTTACCAGGAAACCTGTATCTACCAGGAATTGTCATAGACTCAAGAAGTCCAAAAGCTGGGAAAAACTTTATAGGTCATTTCAGCCTCCAGCCTCCTACCTTCAGACAGAGCTATCTCTCAGTCATTCAAATGTATAGAAATTTTGAAAGATCCCCACACTTAAACATTTGGTTTCAGGAGTCCTGATAGAGTATATATATATATATTTTTAAATGACATTCCCTGCTGTATGTTATTCAAAAACAACAACCAAAAAATCTCTCTAAAACCAGGTTGTAGGGCGCCTGGGTGGCTCAGTTGGTTAAGCGTCAGGATGCCAGGGTCCTGGGATAGAGCCCATGACTGGCTCCCTGCTCAGCAGGGAGCCTGCTTCTCCCTCTTCCTCTGCCTGCCACTCCCCCCTGCTTATGCAGCTCTCTCTCTCTCTCTGTGTCAAATAAGTAAATAAAATCTTTAAAAAAACCCAAGTTTGTATATTTTTTATGCTTCTGATGAAAAATACATAAATTCAAGAGAAAATAAGCAAATATGAAATAAACTGAGTTGGGATGAAGAAAATAAAGTTATTAAAATTGAGATTTCCTCTTCCAAAAATTTGAGTTTCTGATACTTTACATGTACACACTATGAGTACACCCAGTAAAAAATCATATATGTATAAAGAAGAGAGCTGGCAGAGAACACAGGAAAATAATAGGTTTGATTTGCTGATATGACCAGGATGGTGTGTGAATTTTTTTTTTAATTTTGGTTTGCATATGTCATATACTTAGATACTAAATATAATAATATTTAAAGAAAAAAAAAAAAAAAAAACACCTGACCATGGTAGTTTGTGTTGCATTGTTGATGCTTGGATTGGATCTGTCCCTGGGGAAATAAATCATGTAATTGAAGGGCTCCCCCTCTATAAGAGAAGTGTTTTCCCAACCACCAGTCTAGAAGGATAGTAGCCCTCTTTTGTGTACTAGTCCTTTTCTCTAACCCTGGTTAGTGCTTTATGGTTTGAGAATGACTTACTGAGGGGAAATGAAAACCTTAAAATGTTTAGAAAAGAATTCACTGCTCTCAAAAGACTAATCGTTACATCAGATTATTTTAAATATACAGTTGTCTCAGTTATAAAAAACTAAAAATTCATTTGCAACCTTCCAATTTTACCTATTAGCTACAAGGCCTAAGGAGTTAAATTGACCTCCCCGAGCCTCAGTTTCCCCGTCTATAAAGGGCAAGACTACCTGTGCTGTACTGACTGGCAGAGTTGTTAGAAGAATCAAATGTGGCTCTATAATAAAGATGGTTTGTTAACTGTTATGCAAAGTAAATTATTAATAATCCCACCCTGATACTAATTCTCAGGAATTTTGTTAGGACATGGAGACTTTATGACTTAGAATTGATGACAAATATAAAAAACTTCCTATGAGAGTCAAGGAACCATAGAATTTTATTTACTAGAAGGGGCCTAAGATATATTCAAGTTCAAATTCCTAGTGTTATAGGTGAAGAAATTAAGGCAAAGAAAGCCTGTATGTCTTGTACAAGGTCATGCAGTAAGTTGATGGCAAAATTGTGGCTATGGGTCATGCTGCCTAAGGATGATATTGGGGGTGGAGGAGGGGGAAGCCTCAATTACATTAAAAAATATGTATTAAGGGGCGCCTGGGTGGCTCAGTTGGTTAAGCAACTGCCTTTGGCTCAGGTCATGATCCTGGGGTCCTGGGATCGAGTCCCACATCAGGCTTCCTTTGCTCTGCGGGGAACCTGCTTCTCTCTCTGCCTCTGCCTGCCACTCCCCCTGCTTGTGCTCTCTCTGTCAAATAAAGAAATAAAATCTTTAAAAATATATATATATGTATTAAGGCGCACCTGGGTGGCTCAGTCGGTTCTGAGCCTGCTTCTGCCTCTCCCTCTGCTTATGCCTCTCCCTCTGCTGCTCCCTCTGCCACTCCCCGCTACTTGTGCTCTCTCACTCTCTCTCTCTCTCAAAATAAATTAACAAATAAAATCTTTTTAAAAATGTATTAAATATAGGGGCGCCTGGGTGGCTCAGTCGTTAAACGTCTGCCTTCGGCTCAGGTCATGATCCCAGGGTCCTGGGATCGAGTCCCACATCGGGCTCCCTTGCTCGGCAAGAAGCCTGCTTCTCCCTCTCCCAGTCCCCCTGCTTGTGTTACTGCTCTCGCTATCTCTCTCTCTGTCAAATAAATAAATAAAATCTTTAAAAAAAAAATGTATTAAATATAGAAGAGCTTTGGGGGGGGTTTGGCTGGCTCAGTCGGTGGAGCAAGTGATTCTTGATCTCAGGGTTGTAGGTTCGAGCCCCACATTGGATGTAGAGATTATTCAAAAATAAAATCTTTTTTAAAAATTGGATAATATTTTCAAGAACATATTGACAGTTGGGCTCCTGGGTGGCTCAGTCAGTTAAGCGACTGCCTTCGGCTCAGGTCATGATCCCAGGGTCCTGGGATTGAGTCATGCATCGGGCTCCCTGCTCAGCGGAGAGCCTGCTTCTCCCTCTCACTCTGCCTGCTGCTCCCCCTGCTTGTGCTCTCCTGCTTTCTCTCTGTCAAATAAATAAATAAAATCTTAAAAAAAAAAAAAGAACATATTAAAAATCAAGACAGATGGGAAAGTGAAAAAATGGAAGCAAGTTAAAGGAATCACTACTTTTACAACATTTACTTAAAACAATGACCACTACTGAAGTTCCCTACTCCCCATTCTGAGAATAATCTTCATTGTTTATTTATTTCATATTTATGGATATATTTTAAATAGGTCATACATTCTCACGCTATATTATTTTTATTTTATTTTATTTTTTTAAAGATTTTATTTATTTGAGAGACACAGCGAGAGTGGGAACACAAGCAGGGGGAGTGGGAGAGGGAGAAGCAGGCTTCCCGCTGAGCGGGGAGCCCGATGTGAGGCTCGATCCCAGGACCCTGGGATCATGACCCAAGCCGAAGCCAGACGCTTAACGACTGAGCCACCCAGGCGGCCCTCACGCTATATTATTTTAAAGAAATCAAAAGGTATGCCAGGAAAATATCCCTCTGCCCCTCCCCCAACTCTGTGGTCAGCTGTTTGCTCAGGCAAATGCATACATATACATTGGATGCTTAGATAGGAATGCTCAATTTACATTTAAAAGATGCATCCAGTCACAGAAGCCCAAGTGATACAACACTGATATCTCTGAGCTTTGAGAAAGTGGGCTTCAGTTTTTACTAATACCTATTCCTGATTCTCAGAATAATCCAACTCTTTTCTTCAAGCCGTCTTTAGAGTATCAAGTACTTTTAAGTAGAAGCACTTGAAGATCAAGGTGCTGACTGATCCCTAGTAGGTGAAATGATATAGTTGATTCAGAAGAAAGAGACCCAGTCTAACTTTTGAGCACTCCTATTTTTGTCTTGTTGCTTACACTGAACTTCAAGTGTTTCATAAAGGTGACTGTTCTCTTTGGCCAATTTCACATCTAAAGCACTGTCAAGCAAATTAACACTTGTTATTATGGGTTTTTAAACTTGCCTTATGGCTGGATAGAAAGGATTTCCTTTTTCTGTCAAAAGAAAAAAAAATCTTATGTTAGGAATTTAAAAAGAATTCCTATAAAGCTTTCTGAAAATATGGACTCACTGCAGATTTCAGTCCACTTGATTTATTT